ACCCTCGGATGACGGCTGGTCTCTGGAATTCCAGTGTGCAGGAAATCATGCTCGAACGTCTGTTTACTGGGACCGCTGTTGCGCAATTTTTGTTTGCAAGCGGCGAAAAGCGTTCAAGTGCGACGATAACAATGAATTCGAATGGTCGTAATTATCATAGGAATTTCGGCCGAATTAACTAACGGATTCCTTCAACATCAGTGCCACAACTTACGTAGTTATAACCCTTGAATTAATTGTCAGAAGAAGGAGTAGGAAAAGACAGAGAAAAATTGTAGCGATGTTTTCTGAATACAATAATGTGAGGAATGTGACTTAATTATTGGCATTAAAAACGGTGCAAAATAATGTTTTATCTAATAATCACAATTTCATAAAAGAAACTCTGGTAATTATGCAGAATAACGGACCATCCTCAGATGACCTTGACATATGTTATCAAGGTCCGAGTGACCTTCAGAAGGTTTTAGCCGGTGGCCTTCGTTAAAGTTAACGAAAAAACTTTTCTGATTAAATAAATTTGCTGCTTTAATATACACTTAAATAAACGCTTGAAAAATATGTGTAGAGGCAGCAAAGTTTCGCCCTTCCCCTGCGGGGAGCTCCACCAATGCAAAAAGTAACCTGATGCAACCGAGGGGGTAACCGCTATATGAAATATTGTCCCACAGATTACATGATTTTATTTAATTTTATATAATTTTATTTGATGACAAATAATTTTTCCTCACTATATATGCGGTAATTTGGTAAAATAAACGATTTTATCTAATATTACACAATTATTTCTTGTAATTGTCCGATTATACATCGAAATTTTATATAAATTTTATAATAATTTCAGGGACTCCGTTCCACGATTACATTAAGTGATTATCCCCTCGGATGCAACCCATTTGTTGATATGACGCGTAACTGTCGTTTCACGTGGAAAGTCGAAACCCACGTGCGACAGTACAGGCATGTGACTTTCCATGCGAACACACTTCCATGATTGTTTTCGACTTTTTTCCCTCTTTAATGGGGAAAAACCTTTAAAGAAAGGTTTTTCGAATTTTTCAGGGCAACATTGTTGTTAGTAGAAATATGCGCCTGTGTGCATACGAGAATTGAGTCAGATCGACACGTGACACGTTTTACGAGCGATCTCTCCTTAGGGTGCTATTTCATCCGTGCGTTTTTGCCGTAACGACAAATGTGTGCAGGACAGAGACTTCCTCTGATCTCTCTATCCTATAGCCAATCAGCAGGCTTGAAAAATTTGTCGTACGACAAAAACGCACGAATGAAATAGCACCCTTAGATCGTTAAACGCACGGATTTGTCACGTGCGTTTGAAACAATTCGAGTAAAGGCATGCATCGCGGCGCAAAAATGCCCCGCGGCAAAAGATACGAAATTCCGCGGGGATTACCGTTCTATCTCTTATCGGCGCGCGCTTTGGCGTGATTCAGAGACATAATTGTCAACTTTATAGAATATACAAGATTATTCTCTCTGTGTAAAAAAAAATCTTGCGAAAAAAGAATATATTTCACACGCGATTGTGAGCAATTCATGAATGCCATCGAGGACGAAATTCTTTCAACTATATACAGTCGTCTTTCTACTTTGTCAATGTTATACCTTTGATTCTACTAATCGGTTTCGTATATTTTTAAGGTTACAGATTCTTGCGTAACGCACAACACATGAGGCGTAAGAAAATCCCAGCCAGTCAGAATCTTTTATTTCGTGGAAAAAAGAAATGGAGGACTTTGATTGATTCATTTTTGTATGCGTTATGCAAGATTATATAGTCCCGCCCTGACATGACGTTGCATAAAGCATAAGCAGGATTGTTACAAAATTGGAGATCACAGTGATATCAAAGATTTTACAAAATGTTCTGAAGAATTGAAACACTTGATTTTAAAGAAAATAAATTATACATTTACGCAGTTTTGGAATACTTACTGACTCAACAATAATTAAATGTAAGTTGTGTTAACAACATTAATAGTAATTTACATTAAATTGTTCTTTGAACAAAATATTTTGCAATTTTTCTTTACATCAGAACGAAAATGTAAAGTATAAAATAATAGACCAAAAAGACAAATTAAGAGTCAAACATTAACATTTCTTTAATCGCGTAGAGTAAAAAAATAAAATAAAATAAAAGCGACAATAAATTCGAAGATATAAAAAATATATATATTTGCAAAAATTTTACGAAAATGTAAAGAATTTTTAAAAGCATCATGGAAAATCGTGAAATTTTGTTTGGAAATCGGGGAATAATTATGAAATTTTAAGATGAGAGGAATGTGTGGCAAAACACTGTCCTCCTCTTTTCATACTTCGATTGGTTGACTCTCCTGTGCCTTACGTGTTATGGGGCGTTATGCAAAAAAGTCTGTACTTTGCAAAAAATCTTATCGCGTAGCCATACTTTTAACAGCAGACGATCGTAGCGGGAGGACGGTGGGTTCGTGCCTCATTACACGATTTCAGGGACAATTTCCTTAATTCCCTTTCCGTCGTGTGATTCACGGTCTCGGCGCGCCCTTGGCTTTACCGCAATACTGTCCTATACGAATGAGAGAGACGAGGTGGGAGAGAGAGAGAGAGAGAGAGAGAGAGGGGGGGGGGGGGGGGGGAGGGGGGAGAAAAAAGACAGGAGCATACCTCGCGAGAGACCCGAGAGGAGCGGCTTGATGAAAGAAGGAGAGGAGCGAGAAGGGAGAGGGAAGGATAAATGAAACGCTGAACGCGTGCGCTACGCGTCGACACGGCTACGGTATGCCAAGGTTAAAGCGACTTACGGCAAAGTTTCGAACGTGCCGACTCGAACCAGCGCGACCGATCGTTCGATCGGTCGGTCGGAAAACGCGCGCGGGCATTGCACGCCTTCGCAAGCGATTGCATGAAATTTCGTATATAAATATTTTCGCTGAATGGACAGACGGGAGCGAAAGTGTCGTACTTTCGCGCAACATTCCGCGTGTATATGTATATCCCTCGCGCCGCATTGTCCCCGTAAAGCGAAAATCGTCAAACGCCCGCAGACCTGCGTTTATGCAAACGACGAGAACTCACGCATACTAATCGGACTCGAGAATCACCTCGGGAACGTTGATGTCGTTGATTAGATATGCGCCGATATACAAGTTTTGCGAACGATCTAATTATTAATGTTGTAAAGGAGTGTCCTAATTCTGCTCCATGTATCTTATTCCTATATTACTCGTGAAAGATGTCAATTATAGTGAACGTGAACCAATTATTAGTATTCTGAGCAAAATCTATAAAAAGAAAAAAAAACGTCGGAACTGTTGCAGAATTATCAGAAAGTGTTAAAAGTTTTGACAGTTCTGTCGAGAGTTCTGGGTTGCCCCCGCAGAATTCTGTCGAAAATCCTAATAACATAAATCCGTAGAATTTTGACTGAAAGAGTTACGAGCGATTACAGGCGTTCATTTTCTAATTTAGAAGAACAAAAACTTTTTTTTTAAGAGTTCTGACAGTTCTGTGTAGCCCCCCCCC